GTTTTTACAGTAGAGGTCTCATACAATATTTGTCCTTTTGTGATTGACTTATTTCACTCAGCATAACATCCTCCAGTTTCATCCATGTTATGAGATACTTCACAGATTCATCAATGTTCTTTATCATTGTGTAATACTCCATTGTATGTATGTTCCATAGTCTGTTTATCCATTCATCTGTTGATGGGCGTCTAAGTTGTTTTCATCTTTTTGCTATTGTGAACAATGCCACAATGAGTATGGGTGTACATATGGAGAGTTTATAATTTAAATATTCAGAAGTAGGTTTTATGTCTGAAAACTCCGGTCAACTGTTTGCAAGATGAAAGATGTAGCAAGGTTAACCATCAACAAAAGAACTATTGATTCCATGTATGAGTCTGTTGTCCCTCGGAATGTTATTTAATCTCTAGGTTCCTAGTTTCCTTGTAGATACTTGTAAAGCACTTTATAAATAGCAAGTCACTTAGTTTAATACTCACAATAATCCTATGAATAGGCGTTATTATTTCCCTTATTTTATAGTTGAAGAAGCTGAGGCATAGAAAAGTTAAATAACTAGGCTAAAGTCACACATCTCATAAGACTCCCAATCTGGCTCAGAGGCTGTGTTCTTAGCAGGGCTTCAAACTAGTTCATTCTGGTTCAAAACCCCACAGAAAATTTGCATTTGATATACTGAATCATAATCTACTTTTTAACAAGATCCCCATGTGATTCTTATGTGTAATAGATTTTGTGGTTCTCAGAATTGGTCCCTAACCAGTAGCATTAGCATTGCCTGGTAACTTGTTAGAAATGCAAATTCTCAGTAGGCGTTCAAACCGAGGCATGAACCAGTTCAAAGCCCTGGTTCTTAGCCACAACTCTAGAGTGCCTAGGATATACAGGAATTTATTTATTTTTTTCTTAGTCTCTACATAGTGTAAATGGTTAACACACTCAGTTAACCAAAACGGTGGTGATTCGAGTCCACCCAGAGGCACCTCAGAAGAAAGGCCTGGTGATACACTTCTGAAAAATCAGCCATTGAAAACTCTGTGGAGCACAGTTCTACTCTGACACATATGGGGCCACCGTGAGTCAGAGGTTGACTCAACGGCAACTGGTTTTTGTTTTTTATTGTTTCTTAATAGAAAAGAAAGTAATTGCAATGAATGTAAAATAGTAAATACAAATAGTTAATAAAAGCTAAGTAGATTTAGTGTTTAGAGTCTTCCTTGAGAGCCCTTTGGAACCTGGATGAGGTCTTTTTTGACCTCTACATGTGAGACAGGACGACCACAAATTGTTGTGCAGGTAATGTACTGAACAAGTGGAGGGGGCTCTATTCACATTGCAGGCTATGCAAGGGCACTGTACAACCTGTACAACTGTCCGCGGCAGTCCTGAGAGGTGATTTCTAAACAGATAGACAAGAATAAATGACTCTCATCTGAAAGTCCTGACATGATGCCTTCATTTTCATCCCTTCTTACAAAATTACTCAGCATAATTCAGTTCTATGAACAGTAAGTGGCTCCTTCGTGCCAAGCTCTGAGCTAGGTACCTGACAATATGAAAATGAATACATCATAGTCCTTCCCTCTCATTTGCTCACAGGCAAACGATATGAAGATCAATATGGTGTGTTCAGCAAAACTATAAGCAGTTTAGTGTTGCTAAAGTGTAATTTGTAGGGCAAACAGTGAAAATAAATGGTGCTGTGGAGTCAGGCTTGAAGGCTCTTGAATTTCTTTATTCATTCCTTATATGTTTATTGAGTATGTACTCTGAGCCAGGCACTGTTCTAGGCTCTGGGAACTGAGCATGAGCAAAACAAAAATCTCTGTCCTCGGGGAACTTAGATTATAGTAGATATCACCTTAAAACCTTTGGGGCTCTCCCAAACTCTTCCAGCAGGGGTTCCTGTAAAGAATTAAGCTCTACAGAAAATTATTTGAGATACTGTGTTCTCAATTCTCCAGAAGATGTTACATGATGACTCTGTTCTAGGTTCACAGGAAATAAGTAAATTTATTACATACAAAGGATGCTTTAGACCAGACTTTAGTGCTTACTTCTCTTAGGGAACCAGTTGAGAGAGGCTGCGTAGATTATGAGAAGTCAAAGGGAAAGGTTTTAAGCAAGGGAATGACAAGGTTAACTTTTCATCTTAGCCAGGTTTCTCTAGAAGTCTTGTGAACAATGGATTTGAGGAAGGCAAGCTAGCTAGAGAAAGACCAGTTTAGGAGCCTATTGTTGGAGCCCGGAAGACTAGGGACAATGACTGAGTAATGGTTATGGTAGTGGAGATGAGCTAGGGGCATGGGCTGGGAGAGTTTTTAGGAGTGTAAATTGTCAGTACTTGATGATTAATTCAAATGTGGGGGGGGGGGTACAGTGAGGGAATAGGAAGGGTCAAGGATAGCTCTTGGATTGGGTGGCAGGGCTATCCAGGGAGACAGGCAGTGAAGGAGGATGAGAAACTGTGGTGGGGGAAATGGCTAATTCAAATGTGGACAGGATAAGTTGAATGCACTTGTGGGATATGTAAGTGGAAATTCCTAGTGGGCAGTTGAATTTGTGGGTCTGGAACTCAGGAGAAAGCCATGTCAGGAGACACTGGCATGAAGATAATAACTGAAGCCAATGAGGGAGAAGAAAAATAGGCAGTGGATAGAAATCCAGGGAACCAAAAAAAATGGGGGAGGAGGCAAAGGAAAAGGAGCAGAAGCCAAGAAAAGGAGAGAACTGATAAATGTAGAATGAGTCTGACAGATCAAGAAATATCACTGGAAAGCATCTTTTGGACATGGCAATTAAGAGGTTATCAGTGGCTAAAATCATTGGGTTGTATGCTTTAAGCACAGAATTTTATGTATATAAATTTTATCTCCATAAAGCTGTTTAAAAAGACAAAAGAGTCATCCCGGCCCTGGAAGTGTAATTGCCATGGAGCTGACAGCTCATCTGCCAGGTTTCTTCCACAGCAGCCACCTCTACGAGAATTCTTAATGCCAGCTACCAACACTTCTCAATGTATCTGATCCTTTATCATTTAATTATAAAGGAGCCAAATGAACATTCAAAAGTTCTTTTTTAAAACCCTTGCTTTTTAATCAAATCATCGACCTTCCCCAGAGTAAACCTTTCACTCTACCTCCTAGGACTCATTGCAACTTTCAGCCCTTTCTCCTTACTGCCCCCGCAGTGGAGCTGGTAAGTAAAAGTCAGTTCACCATCTAGCCTTCTGCCTTCCCTGCTATTCCTTTATTGTCTACATGGACTGTTGCAGCTTCCACTGATAGTGTTTTCAACCAATATTCACACGATTTTATAAGATATACAATGAGCAGAGAGGCAGGTATGGCCCTCACTTCACCCCGGAATTATCGTATCAAAATAAACACAAGAACAGTACTTTAATCACCGTTTTGAGTGCCTAGGTCATCATCTTATCATTGTTCCTTGCAGGGATCTTACCGCTGTGGGCCTTGTAAGTCAGGGTACGCTGGTGATCAGACAAGAGGATGCAAAGCAGAAAGAAGCTGCAAAAATCCAGAACTGAACCCTTGCAGTGTGAATGCACAGTGCATTGAAGAGAGGCAGGGGGATGTGACATGCGTGGTAAGTTGTTTGCTTACTTGCTTTATCATTTTTCCTTTTCCTTTATAAACACCTACCCCTCACAGTTCCCACTTACCTCAGGGTAACAGTACTCAAAATGAAAACATGCTGGTCAAAATGAACACAGAATGTAACAGTAACAGGTCACCTGAGTTTGGAGGAGCAATCAGAGGTACTTCTAGTCATCAGCTGCCTCTTCTTTCCCTCTTGGTCATGGATTGACAACACCCACCTGAGCACCTCAATGATGATTTTTACAGGTGGAGCCCCAGCTCCCAAGAACCTTCTGAGAAAAATCCGAGAAGTGAGGAGCAGGGAGGTGAAGGATCTTTCCTCCCTCCCTTCCCTCTTTCTACTGTCCTATCTGTTTGTATAACTTACTTACTGGCATATGTGCTGTCATTTCTAACTGGCCTCACCCTTAAGACTCCCAGTTTAAAAATCTAGCCTACTACTATAGGGGTCGGGTCACAGGGGGCTGTCGTGAGCCCTCAGAGAGAAACTGTCTGTCTGCCGCAGGTGAATGAGAGTGAATGGGAGTGGATGGGGCCATTCTGTATGTCAATCTCCACCCAGGTTCTGGGGACAGCTCAGCGAATGGGCACCCTTCTTAGGCATTTCCCAGCCCCAGAGCCGTATCTGGTGAGGAGGTGTGGGGAGGAGGAGGCTGGGAAGAGAACAAGGCAGTCTAGGCCTGATATGGGTCTCACAACAGGTGTGTAATGGGCCCTTTGTGAAGCAGGTGAGGGGGCTATTCCTGCCATCCATTCTCCAAATCCCAGGCTCCAGAGTCCTCTTGAATTCTAGGCACTGATAAATCAGCAGACTTCAGCCACTTAACTTCTCCTTACTTCTCATCTCTTCCTTTCCTTGGGAGCAAGGCCCTCAGCACAAGGAGTCTACAATTCATAGGCTCATGGTGATCACCTCTGGGTGGGAGGGTGGATTCTGGGAGATTTTCCCCCTCAGCTTTATACTTCAAACTTAGCCTTCATTATGTGTGTGCTTGCAAAATTTTCTACAATGAGCATATCACTTTTCATAGGAAAAATAAAAAAAATTAAAAAGAAGTAAATATAATAACATCAGCTATCCCTGGCAATCCAGATATTCTGTAACAGGTCAGGATGAAGGAACAAGCTATGTAAGAGGGGGGAATAAAATCCCAATAGTTTCCCTAATTCTTGTAGATTAGGCATCTGTATTAAGGAGAAAAAAAATCATTGAGAAACAAATATATACAAATCCTTGTTTTCTGTGAACAAATTGTCGATTTCCCTGGGGTGGTGGGTGATGGGATTCTTAATATGTTTTTGAATTTGTAATAAGGCATAACGACAGATGGTAAAGGATTAATAAACTTCACGTTACTACTAAAATAATTTAATCGGCCAGAAAATGGCTCATTAAAAATTCTTTGTTCCTAGAGGAAATTTTTTCTTCATTAAAATGAATCAAAGACTATATCTCATGGCTGAGCTCTCCAGGCTCTCTGCAGGCCCCGCTGAAGCAATGGCGGGCAGGAGTAGGGATAATTACGGGGAGGAGTGTCTTTGGAATCCTGCCCTGTAAGTCCTCTGATTATGGAAGGAGAGCACAGATGATTTAGAACAGGCAATCACTGGTCTGAAACCACCTTATTTTGATTAGAGAGGCCAGGAAATTTAACATCCACTCATGTAAGGTTTGTTTTCCCTTGGCCCTACCTCTTTCCTCAGACCTTTTCCTTCCCCTCTCCCTTCACCTCCTTTCACAGGTCAACATTCACTCCCCCTCTACTCCACCCTCCATGTGCCCTTCTCCCATCTTTGTTAGACTGGAGGTCTCCAAGCCAGAATATTGAGTAAAAAAAAAAAAGCAAAGTACCACACAGTATATATGTGTGTGCTACCAATTGTGTAAAAAGCAAAAGGAAGAAAAGAATGTCTGTGTATTCGCTTGACTATACCTAGAATATCTTTGAAAGCATGTATTCATGAGAATTGATCGCCTGAGCCAAGAGGACAGGGATGAGAAGGAAAGTTTTCACTATATATCCCTTTGTACTTTTTAAATTTTGAACCATTTGATATTTAAATACAATTAAATAGTTTTAAAACCCCACCCAAGAAGGCTGCCAGGTACCTGGCCCTCCCTCTGGGGACTCTGGGGATGGGCGCATACGAGCAGAGGTCCTTGTCAGCTGCCTGCCTCCCCGCCAGGCTCTGCTTTCCAGGCATCTGATGGGTTTTCCATTCACAGTGTGGAGTCGGTTGGGCTGGCGATGGTTATATCTGTGGAAAGGATGTGGACATTGACAGTTACCCTGATGAAGAACTGCCATGCTCTGCCAGGAACTGCAAGAAGGTAAGGAGGACAAATACAAAAAATATATATATATATATTGTGGATTTCAAAAGCCATGTCTTATATGAAGAGAGGCTCTGCAGATCCCATCAGAAATTACATTTTTAAAGTAGTTACATGTGAACGGAAGCAAAATAGCCAGCAACAATAAAGCCAGGCAGCTACAATCAGTCCTGAGGTTGTTGTTAGCCACTGTTGAGTTGGCCCCTGACTCATGGTGACCCCATACCCAATGGTACAAAACACTGCCCAGTGCTGGGCCACCCATGGTCAGTTGCAGAGCAGACCATTGTGATCCATAGGGTTTTCACTGGCTGATCTTCAGAAGTAGATCACCAGGCCTTTCTTTGCAGTCTATATTAGTCTAGAAGCTCCCCTGAAACCTGTTCAGCATCATAGCAACACACAAGCCTCCACTGACAGACAGGTGGTGACTATGCATGAGGTGTATTTTCCGGGAATTGAACTCAGGTCTTTTGCATGGAAAGCAAGAATTCTACCACTGAATGACCAATGCCTCAGTCTTGAGATTAAAAATACTTTCTGACTTAAGACACATGTAGGATGTCATTCTGAGCTGTGCTTCCTAACTTAGGATAACTGCAAGTACGTGCCAAATTCTGGTCAAGAAGATGCAGATGGGGATGGCATTGGAGATACTTGTGACGAGGATGCTGATGGAGACGGGATCTTGAATGAGCAGGTACCTGCTTTCCTGGGAGGGGCTTCGAATGGCCACACGCCGGTGAAAATAGAAGAAAGCTTGTGAAGCCAACTATTGATATTAATCATCCAAAATGTTAATTTCCATTCCTGCATTCTCAGAGCACAGCAACTTTTTATTCTAAGATTCACAAATGTTTAAAATATAAAACTGATAAACTTGGGTCTCAGGAGTTCCGACAACACATAAAAATGGGGAAGGTGAGGATTGTCCAGAATCCGTCACAGGGCCTGGGATTCAGTAAAAGTCTGAATAAATGTTCAGTCTTCCAATCTTTTAGGATAACTGTGTCCTGACTCACAATGTGGACCAAAGGAACAGTGATAAAGATATCTTTGGAGATGCTTGTGATAACTGCCGGACTGTCCTAAATAATGACCAGAAAGACACTGATGGGGATGGAAAAGGGGACGCCTGTGATGACGACATGGATGGAGATGGTGGGTTTATCTTGCATTTTGCCTTTTCTTGGGATACTTTTGTCCTTTTGCCCTTGTTCTCTGTTGGGGATAGGAATAGAGTTATTGACTCAGACGGCTTTCTAGCCCTGAGTGTTCGATGAGGCCTCTATCTGGAGAGCCCTAGATTTCTATGGAAAGAGACTTCACAGCCCATTCCCACTTAATAGCCCCAGATATTTCTGGGACTCTGTATCATTGCCAGAAACTTTGTAAGAATCACTTCAAGTAGCGTCTGATGGAGGCTGTGTCTTTGTAAGGCGTTTGCTTTCCCAGTTTATACATTTCTCAACTTGCCCACCACCCTTTTCACATGTTAGAGATCTGGAAGTGGGGAATCAAACTAGGGGGCCTTGAGCAGAGTCACAGGCTACACCCTCTGGGTCAGGCTCCTCCATGTCAGGAGACCTGGACATGCCCTGCCTATTCTGGGGAAGGGCTATGGAGTCAGGGTTGTGGCTGTGTGGTATAGCTCCAGGGACCTCCACTCCAGGGACTTCATATAGGGGTCTCTGGGAATGGTACTCCCTGGAGCATAACTTTCACCGGCTCTGGAGTCCCGTGGGGCTCGAGGGAGGCCATTTGTTCCTGAATAGCTTCTGTAGCATATAGAAGGCTATCATTACAATATAGACCGGGCTCTGATGGCTTCTAAAAAAACATATCACATCATAGGGCCTTTCAGAAATACACTCCCATACACACACACAAACTCAGCACTCGAGAATATCCAAACCAAACCCATTGCTACTGAGTTGATTCGGACTCATGGCTGCCTCATGTGTTGTAAAGTAGAACTGCTCCATAGAGTTTTCTTGGCTATAGTCTTTAGGGAAGAAGACCTCTAGGTCTTTCTTCTGTGACACCGCTGGGTGTGTTCACACTGCAACCTTTAGGTTAGTGGCCAATAGCAAACTGCTTGTGCCACTCAGGGACCTCCCAGAATATCCACACCTCCTTAAAATGTAACCTCACTTTCTAGAAGCCCTACTCATGATCCAGATCCAGTGTTGTGCTGGTAAACCAACTCTATGAAATAACCAAAAAAGAGCATTTGCCATACTATTTGTCAATTTCCCATCATAGCTGATTTCAAGTCGCCGATATGGCATTATTAAGCATGAAATTGGGAAGAGAGTTGTACAATGGGCTCTCACAAGCCAGTCCAAGTTGGCTTCAACACACCACTGCCCTGACCTCTGGGGTCCCCGTCCTAGCTTCAACCCCCACAAGGTCCTCCCTGTCTAGGGTCAGCTCATCTGGTTGCTGCGATAACCCTTGACATCTTGGAAAATTATAATTCAGTGGATAAATGCCTCAGAAAGCTGTTCAATTTTAAATCTTCCAGAATCCATCCTTTGAAGTCACCTGTGGAAACTGCTGTAGAAAGGTTTTAGCTATGTGATGATGGCCCAGTCAGAAGGATCTCACCACACACCTGTGTATAGGTCTCATCTACACAGCACCTAGTGTCTTCCATACCTATCCGTGATGTTCACCTCACCCCAGATTGTATTCCTTTCTCACAGGAATAAAAAACGTTTTGGACAACTGCCCGAAAGTTCCCAATCATGACCAGCAGGACAAGGACAATGATGGTGTGGGGGATGCCTGTGACAGTTGTCCTGATATCAGCAACCCTAACCAGGTAAGTAGGATAGAGGGGAGTTCAGACTCTAGGCTGAACTTCCCCACGCAAAGGCCAGTTTAAGACCAGTGTCTAGAAGACACAGCAGAGCCCATCAGCCCATTTCTCTGCTGCCCCCCTTACCTAACAGAGCAGAGGAGGTGAAGCTGCACACCTTCGGCTAGAGGGGACAGGAAGAACACTAGAGGAGCTCCGAGGTCTTGGGTTAATATCATTGGCTGCAGAGTGCCTATGAGGTTAGCAATATGAGCTTAACCGTGCTTCAAACAGGTTTACTCTGCTGAAAGGAAAGTAGAACATGGACATTAACCATTGTGAGCCTCATCTTATTTCAGTCCCCAAACCCCTACACAGCCGTGTATAGACATTTCAGATTAAGTTCAGTCAGCAATATGTTGAGATCCCTTTCTCACTCCCCCTCATTGGGATAACTGGGTATGATGCGTCATTTATTTTTAAAGCCCTGAAAAAAGGGAGTCATTGTTGCCCTCCATGACTCACCCACCATTCTGGCTCAATTCCCAAATGCAGAAGCAAAGCAAAATCAATTTGTCATGCCCCCGTGCCTGTGGCTGGCTCCCTTCCGACCCGTGCCAGAGTTCCATGTCTCCACCTGCCACCATGCTACCCCAGTGCCCTTTCCCAGTCAGCTCATCTGGTGTGTAGGCAGTCCATCCATGTAGCTTGATATTTTAGAAGGCTTTTTTTGAAAATTCAGCATTGTGCCTACACCAATATGGTGTTGTCCTTTTGCAGTTTTGCACCACCCAGTTTCAGAGAAATAATTCCAGAGATCCAGGGATGATGGGCCAGGTCTGCCTTCTCTGGAACGTTCTGTGGATGCAGGCCCAGGAATAAATGACAACATATTCTGTTCTCTTTGCAGTCTGATGTGGATAATGACCTGGTTGGGGACTCCTGTGACACCAATCAGGACAGGTATGGCATGTCCCCAGCTGCATAGAGCCAGATGGGAAAATCTAGAGAGAATTATAGCTTTCAGAGCTTTCTGCTGCTAGCATGCTTTGGATTTCTCTGGGTGGAATGAACTACTGTTGGGAAAATAGCCTTCCTGTGGTTAGAGTTGCCACACCTTCCTGAAAGTTCTGAATAGAGGGTGGTAGTGTCAGAATGGGCCGCTAGCACTCTAGCAAGTGAGGTTCTATTATGGAAGAGGAAGTAGAGCATCATGATTCAGAGATGGGCTTGGGAGTGAGATAGCCAGATATAAATCCCAGATCCTTCATGTATTCGCCAGCTTACCTTAGGCAAGTTATCTAATCGCTCTGTGCCTCAATTTTCTCATCTGTAGAATGGGGATAACAATAGGATCTATCTCATAGGACTGTTATAAAGATAAATGGAGTTAATCCATGAAAAGTGCTTATTAGAGTTTCTGTTACCTAGGTAGCGCTCAAAAAAATATTAGCTATTTTACTATTACAGTCTTTCAGCTCCGGAAAGCTTCACCATCATCCCAAAATAGAAGGCTGTCAATTTGCTGAAGGAGTTCTGTGATTTCATTGTCCTTAGAAGTTTTTCCAATTTCCCTTATTTGAGTGGAATTGTTCAATGCAAATGGATTTTGTCAACCCTCCTAGCCCAGCATGGATGGGGTTCTACATTAAGACACAGGGGTGCATCAGATGTTGTAGGAACATCACCAAAAATGTAGACATGTGCAACTCTGCCCTCGAGGCACCTGCAATCCAAGGTTCTAAACCTTTCATCTCCTTAAGGATTCTTATAGGGGCCGTCAGAACAGGGATGAGAGAGGGAAAGGATTCTAGAAGACAAAACAGCAGGAAGAGATGTAGCTTCTCTTCTAATCCCTGGATCAGAGGCTACTCTGCAAACACCAGTTCTCAATCCAAACCTTGCTCAAGGACAGTTCCTATAAAGTCCCAAGTGGCATTTGCACACACTGTATTTTTCATTATGCTCGGTGTCCTGGCTACAAAATACATCTACTATCTAGGTGAACTTAAACATATTTCTCAATCTCTCAAAGTCTCAATTTCTTCATCTGCAAAGTAGAGATAATTAAATATATCTCACCGGTCATGATGAAAAGGAAAGATAACGTAGGTAAAGCTCCCAGCACAGAGCTGGCCCTCAGGTGATATCCAGAAAGTGGTGCTGTGTTGTCGTCGTTATTACAGCACCAGGAGGGGAGAGTCAGCGACAGAGTCTGATGTCAGATGTCTCTCTCTCCTCCTGGGGCTGGTACACCGACAGTTGCACTAAATGATGTACATCAAGAATGTTCCCTGTCTCAGGTCATCGTGCACTCTAGTTACCTTTTACAGTAATTTCTAAAACGTCCTATCCCACTATTCTAGACATTTGCCTAAAACAGATGACTCATTCTGCTGCATTTTAATTCCCACAAACTTGAACCTTGGGGAGAAAGACAAGAACTGCTTGTTTTTATATAAAAATGTCCACGACTATATAGAATGGCTGCTGATGGAAGCAGCTCAATCTTCTGTTCTAAAAAACAGCCCTGCTGTGTGCATAGGAATCTCACTGTTTGAGCCACTCCATCTTCTGCTTCTCCAGGTTGGCCTCACTTTCTTTCCCTCTGTAGCCATCTAGGAAGCATGGCCTGAAAGACATGGACTGGTCATTGTTTCCTCCTGCTCCCCATCCCTCGAGGGTATAGGGGCGGCTCCAGGTCCAGGACAGATCGCAGGTGGGAGCACAGTAAAAAGAGTATCTGCTCTGATCCTGAATAGCTATGGGAGGTCTCAGCCAACTCAGGGAGACCTCTGGGAGATAGGGCAGACTCATCCTCATATGACCCTTAGTCCTGGAAAGAAGAAAAGTCAAGTGAGCAGAGAATGAAGCTCTGAGAAGTCCTGTAGACCAAGACTGAGCCCAGCCTACATCCTCACCTTTCAGGAAGGAACAAGCATATTCTCTTTGTCATTCTTCCCATAGCATTCAGGTCTGAATCCTTATCGGGTCCACTGACCGGGTAGTATGAAGAGTAATAGAAAAGAAAACACCATAGGGCTCCTAAGAGCCCAGCACTTAGGAAGTATTTTCATATGTTAAAATTTATTATATAAAATTTTAATAATTTTAATCATTTAATCTTCATAACAGCCCTATGACGTAGGTACTATTATTACCCCCATTTTACAGATGAGGACACTGAGCTACAGAGAGGTCGAGTGTCATGCCTGTGGTCACATGCTAGTAAGTGACTGAGCCAAGATTCAAACCGAGGCTGTCTGGCTCCACAGGCCCTCACAATATTCCTTTACAAGTTCTCTGAGTCAGATACCATCTAGTAGTCCTCAGGGACTGATAGGAACATCTGGTCACAGAAATCACAGTAGTAGACCCTTAGCATTGTGAGTAGGAAATGACCTACTTGTTTCAACAGGTTGAAGAGGTGGGAAAATTGTCTCTGAGGCCCACAGACAGCCTTATCTAAGAAAATGACCCCAGTGAGTTTGATAAGAGACCAAAGTCTGGTTAAAACCCACACACAAAGTCTCCTTCCCAAGAACCTGACTCTTCATGCCCTCTGCTGAACCGGGAACTCTCCTTTCTCCCACAGCGATGGAGATGGGCACCAGGACAGCACAGACAACTGCCCTACAGTCATTAACAGCGCCCAGCTGGACACTGATAAGGATGGTATTGGTGATGAGTGTGATGATGATGATGACAATGATGGCATCCCAGACCTAGTGCCTCCTGGACCAGACAACTGCCGGCTGGTACCCAACCCAGCCCAGGAGGATAGCAACAGTAAGCAGGCTCAGCCCAAGGCTGCGTGGGACCCCAGGCTCCGTTCAGCCAGACACCCGGTGGCACACCTCTCCCAGGACACTGATTCGGAGCATCCTGAGCTCCCCCACCTCTGACTGGCTGCATCCCCAAAGCCAGCTCCTCAGAGCAGCGGCAGCCCGTGGACGGTAGATGTCTGCTAGAACACAAGTCTCCAACTCTGTCAGAGAAGAGTTGCTTTGCATCTTCCTGGGAACCCCTAGCATGAGATCACAAGGGGCAGGGAAGAAGCCACCTGCTAACAGCTCAGACCCCAAGGGGCTTGAAGAGTGGCTCTGCCCTCTTGCTGACTCCTTTCACTGGGAGTCCCAGAAAAGGAGGAGCAGGAGAGAGAGAAAGGCACAGCAGCCAATGGCTTAGGCAGGGTTTCAAACTCAGGTGCCTACAGGGACCAGGCAGGTAAGGAAATGTGCACTAAGCCAGATAGGAGACAGCAGGGAGTGGTGGGAATTATGGTGAACAGGAGAGGGCATGCCCACTCAAAGCTATGCAGATGCAGATGTTTGAAAACCATCATGTCAGTGAACAAAATATGCTTGCAGGCCAGTTTCTGCCCAGGGCCACCAGAAGTGTCTGACTTAGAGATATTCTGGTGACAATAATAACTTCCCTTCTTCGTACACATTATAGTCAGAAAGTGCCACACAGTTTCGCTTATGTAAAGTTAGGCTTAAGATCTGCCAGTTGGTGAGCTCGACTTATGTAATAAAAAGAACTTCCTCAGGACAGAGTGGAGGGCAACTGTTAAATTAATCCTACAAGAAACCCTTGGGGGGCGGGGGGTATTCTGAGAGCTGGCCTGGTTACCCCATCACAAGGACTCCAGGACAGGGCCCAGGGCCAGCTCCGACATTATTGATCCCAGGCCCCCTCTCCCAGCACTGGCTGAAAATTGTAGCTCTGGAAGTGGGAGCTTGGGTCTTTCTTCTGTTTCAGGCCCAGCCTACTTCTCTGTCCAGGAGCAGTGGTGGGTGTAGGCATTACTGAGCTCATCTTCTCTTTCTTCACCCTACTCAGGTGACGGAGTGGGAGATGTCTGTGAGATGGACTTTGACCAGGACCAAGTCATTGATCGGATCGATGTCTGCCCAGAGAATGCAGAGGTCACCTTGACTGACTTCAGGGCCTACCAGACCGTGGTCCTGGATCCTGAAGGGGATGCCCAGATTGATCCCAACTGGGTGGTTCTGAACCAGGTGAGTATCACACCATTGGCAGGTCCCAGTCCAGCCAACAGCTCAGATTTCATCTCAACAGGGGCCCCTATGATAGCAGTGGGTGACATTTCAAGGGTGTTGACTATGAGCCAGGCAGTTTCACATCTCATTTATTCCTCACAATGGCCCTATGACCAAGTGCTTTCCGTGTCCCCATTTTATAGATGATAGTATCAAGTCATAAAAAGCTAAATGACTTGCTCATGGTAGCACTCTGGTAGCTGGCTGAGATAGCTGGAATTGGAAGCAGGCAGTCTGAGCCTAGAGCCCACACTCCTAATCTCTCCCATAGACTGCCTCCTGCAGTGTCTTCCTCACTGTGTAACTAAGGAAGGAAGGCACAGAGAGGTTTAGAAGACTTTCCAGAGTCACACAGTAAATCACATTCATTAGAAGTATAAGTTCCCCAATTAAGGGTTTATTGAATCAGCTTAAGTGACAGTTTTAACAAAATTGTTTCTATTCAACTTTGTGCTTTTTTACCCTCTTTACAAGTAGTGTCATATGCTTTCTTCAGGCACAGAACAAGGCCAAGCAGTTGCTCCCATAATAACATCCGTATGTAGAGGTCAGACACCACTAACTACTCATCGTGGTGTCTGATGTTCTGGGCTCCCATGAGTTCACTCAGCCCCCTCTCTCTCACCTCTCTTTGCAGGGCATGGAGATTGTGCAGACCATGAACAGCGATCCTGGCCTGGCAGTAGGTATGTCCAGGGTCTCAGTCACCACTCCAAGTAGAATTCACTCTTTCCTGCTACTCAGGTGGCTTGCCCATTTTTCTAATCTTGTTCTGATCTCTACAGGGTACACGGCTTTTAATGGAGTTGACTTTGAAGGGACCTTCCATGTAAACACCCAGACAGACGATGACTATGCAGGCTTTATCTTTGGTTACCAAGATAGCTCCAGCTTCTATGTAGTCATGTGGAAGCAGACAGAGCAGACCTATTGGCAAGCCACCCCATTCCGAGCAGTTGCAGAACCTGGCATTCAACTCAAGGTATTGATGGTTTGAAGCTACTCATCTCTCTTTCTTCTGGGCCCTTTACCCTCCTCCTTTTAAATTCTATGCCAGTTAGTTAATCTAAGAAATTGATTCATCAATGCGAACATTCAAGTCAGAGAAGACTAGAGCTGACCCTGGGCCTTGCCTTCATTCTGAAGTCCTAATTACCTTCTAACCTTTGGATAATTGTGATGGTGGAAATTTCAGCCTGAGTAGGGTCAAACAGGTGGGAAGTTTGGGGGTTCATCTTCAGACACACTATGTTGGAAGCTGGCTAACCTATTTCCTCAAGGGCCAACTTTGTACAGGAGGGCTGATAGACTACCTCTGTCATGCTTGCTAGGAGAGGAAAAGACTTCACTAGCCAGACATCTGATGGAAGCTGTCATTGGGGAAATGTGGGGAGCAACAGATTTCCAGTAGGGAAAAAGTGAAGTGAGTGGTTAGTGGAATACTGGCCAATTCTTATTATTAAAGAGTTAGGGGGGTAACTTCAGTGGAAGTGGCATTAAGTATTTGTGCTCTTGTCTGAAGCCAAGGCAGCTAGCTTGTAACCATGAACGCATTACCATACCATCACCTTAAGACTCTGGGAAGCAGTCTGTGCATCTTCTTTAAAAACTTGCTCATGTCATTGTCCAGGCTGTTAAATCTAAGACGGGCCCTGGTGAGCATCTCCGGAACTCCCTGTGGCACACTGGGGACACCAGCGACCAGGTCAGGCTGCTGTGGAAGGACTTCAGAAACGTAGGCTGGAAGGACAAAGTATCCTACCGCTGGTTCCTGCAGCACAGGCCCCAGGTGGGCTACATCAGGTAGGCAGATGATCCATCTCCACGCTTTGCACCTAAAGCAAAGCACAGGCTCCATTCTGCATCCCCAAACCTCCTCTCCCTAGAGCAGTCCTGGCCTAGGAGAATCCTTAGGATAAGCCAGGACTTGTGAGACATCAGGCTGTGGCTTCGAGAAAAGAGGTGGGGGAAAGACACCCAGGCCAAAACTGTCCACCATGGATACTGGGACCAAACTGGGACTAGAAGGACCTTCTTGCGGGGAGGCTTCATCACTGGGGTTTGGATAGTGCACTTGAATGGCAGAACCCCTTCTACCATGTTCTTCAGAGAAGCCTGAGAGTGGCCAGGCTGTGAGGTAAGAGGTGTGGCTGAGTCTCTGATCCACACCTTCCTCTGTGATACCACTGGGCCCTGTACCATCATATGATTGCTTATTTCACACTGCACTGTAATGAGTCACACACGGTCTGTCTTCTCTGCTGGATTATAAACTCCATGAAGGCAGCACCTATGTCTTATTTTATCTCAGTCTCCCCAGTGCCTAGCACAGTGCCTGGCATGTACTATGTGTGGCATGAACTGATCTTCGTGTCTGCTAGTGCAAGCTGCCTTCTTTCTCCACAGGAATATTTTTAATAAAATATTAATAATTTAATTTAATAAAATAAAAACCTATTCACAGAAGTTAGGATGGCTTAGGACTACACCTTTGTAATTTAGATAGTATACTTACTTTATCACTACTCAGACTTGTAGATAAACACCCTCGCCAGCTTGTGGAGTGTAATTAGGGAAGAGTACTGATTGCATTCCCTGACCAGGGCAGGAAAGCAGCCAGTGGAATAAAGAAAATCATGAGGGCTAGCTCATATTTGTTCTTTGTGATGTTACATTGAATGTACTCTGCCTCACAGTAAGATGGTCATGTTCTCAGCCGTATCAAGCCCAATGCCCCTTTTTTATTAAAATATATACGATATATTTTGAAATCTCCCCTTTTCTGTCCCAGAATTAAATCGTAGAAAACATACACGTGTATAATTTTAGAAAAATCAATCTGATCTCTAACAATATAATAGAGAAATAAGAATAAATTAATTTATAACAAAATAATGTAAATGTTCGTGCACAGCCACACAAGAAGACAAAATAAAATAGACACTTGCACCCCGTACCTAGAATCACTATAAAGGTGACACTGTGCTACAAATCGTTGTGTTGGTGACTCACATACTACAATGGTGTTGCCAATGGTGATATAAATTTCTAAAATGATGAACAATTCTTACTTTTCAAACAAAACAAAGTACTCAGTCAGTTTCCAATTTATCCTGGAAAATTCACTTTATATTAAAACAGTCTGAAAATACTGGGTGTTAATAAGGAAAAGGGCATTAGATCCTAGGACCAGATAATTATAAATGGGTGCCTTACCTACCTGAATGTCTGGAGGAACGTTCTAAAGGTGTATGGGATGTGGGAAAGTTTGGGTTGTTCTGTGCACAGCATTGGAGGCCACCCAGCATCCCTGGCTCCTGTCACTGAATTTCACTGTGACAACCAAAAATGCCCCACAGAATTCCAAGACCCCGCTGAAGGAGTGCTGCCAAGTTTCCAAGTTTCAGTGCTCTAAGTTTCCACCAAATGATACAGATCAAACCTAAAGGAAAGCAGTTTTTAAGCGTGATATTTAGACAAGGTAACTCACAAGACAATGAAGTCACAAAGCCCCTGTTCATGACATCAGGTTGTGATTTCTTGTCAACTCGTCATTTAGTACCTATTGAGCTTGACTCGGTGCCCAACGCTGTGTTAGGCCTTTTGAGAGAGAAAAATTTGGAAGACATGGACACATGGTCCCTGGCCTCAAGAAGCTTTCAATCTAGCAGGGGATGGGAGAACGGCTACAGCACAAACCAAGTCAGTGAAAAATGCATTACAAAACAGAGTTAAAGACTCAGTGGATAAGCGGTGGGACCCCCTGGCCTCTCGATGGGGTCTTCACCCTGAGCTTGGTTGGAATTTCATGGATTCCCACGCTGGCTGTGTTATCTGCAGGGTGCGATTCTATGAAGGCTCCGAGTTGGTGGCTGACTCTGGGGTCACCGTAGACACCACCATGCGTGGAGGCAGGCTTGGCGTTTTCTGCTTCTCTCAAGAAAACATCATTTGGTCCAACCTCAAGTATCGCTGCAATGGTAATGTACATTCTTATTACTCCACAATATTATTACTAGAATTTATCGAATAATACACCATCTTTTATACTGCACTTTCCTCCCAAAAGCTCAAAGCTCATGCCACATATTCGTTAAAACCTTTGTAAGGAAAACAGAAAGTAGATATCATTTTTTCTATTTTATAGATGTAGAAATTTAGATCCATAGAATTTAACTGCTTAGCATTTGGGGTTCAGTGAGAAATTCAGTCAGGTTTAATTTATAGGCAGCCTTTATTTTCACACGGTTCAAACATAATCACAGACTCAAAATCCACTCTGCCTGCTAATTTTCTTTAGGCCTGTGAATGAGCACTCCTGGGCTTTGAGCCAACAATTTGCAAAGCATCCTGAAGTAGAAAAATGGCTGCGGGCCTTTTGGGCTTCTTGGGCAGGCTGACAGTGACCCCTACAGGATCTCTGTACAGTGCGAGATGGGCAAGGATTGCTGGGGTTTAAGGAGCCCTAGTGGTGCAGTGGTTAAAGTGCTTGGCTGTTAACCGAAAGGTCTGTAGTTCAAACCCACCAGCTGCTCCACGGGAGAAAGATGTGACATTCTGCTTCTGTAAAGATCATAGCCTTAGAAACCCTTTAGGGCAGTTCTACTCTATTCTGTAGGGTCACTATGAGTTGGAATCAACTCAATGGCAATGGTTTGGTTTTGGTTTTTTAGTAACCTCTCCTGTCTCTGTTCTTGTTTGCAGACACCATCCCAGAGGACTTCCAAGAGTTTCAAACCCACAATTTTGATCAGTTAGATAATTAAACCGAGGAAGCGATCCGTAACTGCTTTCCAAACACTAAAGCCATATATTTTTTAATTTTCTATGATTTTTTTTTATATACACTGTGGTTTTCTTTTACCAGCCCAGGTATAGCAAAACTTTTTATACGAATGTGGCAATAAAGGAGAAGAGATGATTTCTAAAAACTATGTCACCCAGACATCATTTAGGTGTGGCTCAGGTTTTGATGGTATTTCGTTGTGCTCTGTGGTATCCACGTTGAAAATGCAGGGGAATCTTTTTTCTTCTGACACCAGGTCAGTCAGTCAGATTCAATGTGTGCATGGATCAGAAGGCCCAGGTCAAAAGTCTCATCTCCCATCACTATAATTAGCTTCACACAAAAAAAAACCTAGCTGTTCTATGCTCACCTCAGCAGCCTCCTTAATATGAGTGAAGGATCTCAAAAACACAACCTCAGGGGTTACCTTTTCTATGAAGACTCTTCTGACCAATCCCAGGGCAGGTTTGTCCAATGCTATTGGCTCCCTCCCACTCCCCTCCCAACACACCCATTCTACACAGACTCCTATCCCAGCACCTACCTATTATTATGCTTATTTATATATTTGGCTCCCCCTAGTGGAAACTGAGTTTATTAAGGATAAAGGACCATGTTTTATTACAATCTGTATCCCCAATGCCTAATACAGTACCTGGCATGTAGTAGATACCAAATGAATGTAGTAGATATCCAATGAATGTTTGTTGGATGGACGGATGGATGGATGGATGTGGATGGATGGATGGATGCCTCTTAAGTAATGTAGATAATATATGGATCATACAAACCTCCTTGGATCAAAAAGCTGCTCACAGCACACGCTCTAACTATGGTAGTATCAGTAACTTCACTGTATGTACAGGGCAGAAGTTTGCCTAATTTGTCTACTTGCTTGTTTTATATTCCATTTTTAAGCAAAAGAATCAAGGCACATTTTCAAAATTACACAAATTCTCTACGAGAAAGCATTGTGTCCACATGAAATAGATTCCCTTTTTTTAACTAGAGGCTGGAAGATTCAGAGGTATGCTGAAACCAGCTCACGAGAGCCAACTATTCAGTTTTTAGGAAGTTTTTCAGCCTGTTGTTAAATAGTTGATAGCTTGAAGTTAGCCATGATGAGAGTTTTATACCACAGAAATCGGCAAACACAACAAATCAGGGTCTCATTCACCAGAAGCTGATTGTTAAACATTTCTCAGCACACAAGGGGGAAGATCCAGCTACTTTGTCTGATCCCTAGTCATCCCTGCTCTATATTTTAGAAGCTGATGTACAAAAAGTTGAAGCTTTCAGAAAACTTGGTGTTTCAGAAGTAGAGGAATGCAATACGTTGGGTAGATCAAGAAGCACTTGAGAGAGGCTACGCAGATGCTGGTTCTGCGAAAAGGCTGGCGAGCATGGTGGTGCCTTCTCCCCCAGGTTGCTCCCTGGGCTCCCTGAATGTTTTTTATACTCAACTTTAACACAGTGACTCAAATACCTATTAGAGTTCCATTCAGGTTAGTAAGATATTTATTTAAAAGTGAAAATACCATAACTCAACAACAAAAAGACAACACAATTTAAAAATGAGCAAAGTACTTGAATAGGCATTTCTCCAAAGAAGATAAACGAATGGCAACAAGCACGTGAAAAGATGCTCAATATCATTAGGGAAATGTAGTCGAAACCACAATGAGATAATTCTTCATACCCGCTAGGATGGCTATTATCAAAAATTCATAATATAACGTGTTGGTGAGGATGTGAAGAAATTAGATCACTCGTGCATTGCTGGTGGCAATGTAAAATGGTACAGCTGCTGTGGCAAACAGTTTGGCAGTTCCTCAACAAGTTAAACATAGAATTACCATATGACACAGGAATTCCACTCCTAGGTATATACCCAAAAGAACTGAAAACAAGTACTCAAAAAAAAATTGTATAAAAAAAACAAACAACCAAACCTGTGGTCGTTGAGTCAATTATGACTCATAAGGAGCATTTATAATGGCATTATCCAAAATAACAAAAATGTCCATCAACTGATGAATGGATAAACAAAACGTGGTATATGCATACAGTGGAATACTATTCAGCTATGAAAAGGGATGAAATAGTGATACATGCTATAACATGGATGAACCTTGAAAATATTATGTTAAGTGAAAGAAACCAGATGCAAAAAGTCACATATCGTATGGTTCCATTTATATGAAGTGACCAGGATAGGCAAATCCACAGAGACAGGAAGTAGACTAGTGGTTGCCAGGAGCCGGGGGAAGGGGGAGTGGGAAGTGATTAATTAATGGGTATGAGGGTTCCTTTTGGGGTGATGAAAATGTTTCGTAACTAGATAGAGGTGATAGAGGTTACGGTTGCACAACATTGTAAATGTCACTGGATTGTGCACTTTAAAATGGTTAATTTTATGTTATGTGAATTTTACCTCAATTTTTTTTTTAATGTGAAAATGTTTCTGGGATTATGAGTGGCCATCCATCACTCACCAGCTACTTTGAATTCATTCCAATGCCTCTCCTCCTCCTGACTTCTTGCTGAGGCCAAGGGTACTGAGGAAATGGGCGTTGTCACTGAGAAAGAGAGGAGGACTGCCGTGCTTGATGCACTGTGGAGAAAAGGCCATGCCTAGTGGAATCCCACAGCATGTGGGGGAGAGATCTTGGGGCACAGGAGGGCACTGGGAGCATGAAGAGGAGGCTCTGGGGTATGGGAGAAGATGCAGAATGGGAGGGAGGGTGACAGGAAAGGCTAACAGCACATTCTGCCTTCACTCAACAAAGAGGCAGGAAGCTCTTCTTTCTCCTTTGCAGCTGGTATTTTCGAATTGTTATAGGTGATTGTCGTGAGCTTAATTTTGGTGCTGGGCTATAGAGACAAAAAGAATGAGAAAGATGCCAAATCCAGTCATCTACTATTTAAATATCTGTAAAGGTTATGTCCTAGAACGGGACACTAACTCAGAATATACTCAAGCATCAAAAAGAAATCTGATCAAGAGATGAGGTACCTTGAGAACCAGGTGATTTGCCACTTGGATCTCATGGAGTGAGATGATGTGAGGCTATCTAAGTCAAAAGTGGTGGCCAGACAAAGGAGGGAAAAGGATTTCCCAAGGCTGGTGGAACACAGGGGTTGTGGGGTCTGAGAGGCCGTGTCTACCCCTCCCACATGGCATGAGAAGGCAGGAGGAGCCTTTGATGGGGCATCTGTCCGTGGCTGTGGACTGGACACTTAGCCCACATCCTGAGAGCAGGAGGCTGCTGATAACCAAGCCTGCAATAGCCAGCAGGCCCTCCATGAGAAGCACCACTGTCACCATCCTAACAAAGTGCCCCCATGTGGTAGATGACCAGATCCCCAAAGGGGCATCCTGTAGCCAAAATGCAATGGTAGTAATTACCATGTTGTTGTTGTTAGGTGCCATTGAGTTGGTTCCGGCTCATAGCGACCCTGTGAACAGCAGAACAAAACAATGCCCAGTCCTGTGTCATCCTCCCAATACTTGCTATGTTTGAGGCCATTGTTGCAGCCACTGTGTCAATCCCTCTCATTGAAAGTCTTCCTCTTTTTTGTTGACCTTCTACCTTACCAAGCATGTTATCCTTCTCCAGGGACTGGTCCCTCCTGATAACATGTCCAAAGTATGTGAAATGAAGTCTTACCATTCTTGCTTCCAAGGAGCACTCTGGCTGTACTTCTTCCAAGACAGACTTGTTCATTCTTCTGGCAATACATGGTATATCCCATATTCTTCACCAACACTATAATTCAAAGGCGTCAATTCTTATTCGGTCTTCCTTATTCATTGTCCAACTTTCAAATGCATATGAGGTAACTGAATATACCCTGACTTGAGTCAGGCACACTTTAGTCCTCAAAGTGACATCTTCGCTTTTTGTCTTAGTTATCTAGTGCTGCTATAACAAATACCACAAGTGGGAGGCTTTAACAAAGAGAAATTTGTTCTCTCACAGTCTAGGAGGCTAGAAGTCCGGGTTCAGGGTGCCAGCTCCAGGGGAAGTCTTTCTTTCTTTGTTGGCTCTGGGGAAAGGTCCTTGTCATCGGTCTTCCCCTGGTCAAGGAGCTTCTCAGGGCAGGGACCCCAGGTCCAAAGGAAGTGCGCCCCTGACTCTTCTTGCTTGGTGGTAATGAGGTCCATCTGTCTCTCTGCTGGCTTCTCTCTTTCATATCTCAAAAGAGATTGACTTAAAACACAACTTAATCTTGTAGATTGAGTCCTGTCTCATTAATATACTGCCCTAATCCTGCCTCATTAACATCTTAGAGGTTATAGGAAAATCACATCAGATGACAAAATGATGGACAATCACACAATTCTGGAAATCATGCCCTAGCCAAGTTGACACATTTTAGGGGGACACAATTCAATCCATAACACTTTTCAACACTTTACAGAGTCTTTTGCAGCAGATTTGCCCAATGTAATATGCCATCTGATTTCTTGACTGCTGCTTCCATGGGCATTGATAATGGATCCAAGTAAAATGAAATCCTTGACAACTTCAATATTTTCTCTGTTTATCATGATGTTGCTTATTGGTCCAGTTGTCAGGATTTTTGTTTTCTTTATGTTGAAGCGTAATCCATACTGAAAGCTGTGGTCTTTGATCTTTATCAATAAGTATTTCAAGTCCTCTTCATTTTCAGCAAGCAAGGTTGTATCATCTGCATAACGCAGGTTGTTATTGAGTCTTCCTCCAATCCTGATGCCCCATTCTTCTTCATATAGTCCAGCTTCTCGGATTATTTACTCACCATACAGATTGAATAAGTATTGTGAAAGGTTACAACCCTGACACACACCTTTCTCGATTTTAAACCATGCAGTATCCCCTTGTTCCGTTCAAACAACTGCCTCTTGATCTATGTACAGGTTCCTCATGAGCACAATTAAGTGTTCTGGAATTCCCATTCTTCACAATATTATATTATCCATACTTTGTAATGATCCACACAGTCAAATGCCTTTGCATAGTCATATGACCCAGCAATTCCACACCTAGGTATATACCCAAAAGAATTGAAAGCAGGAACTCAAACAGATACTTGTACACCAATGTTGACTGCAACACTATTCACAATAGCCAAAAGGCAGAAACAACCCAAGT